ATCCTTTCTGAATAAAAAATTATTAGTTTTCTTTGACTAATAAATGTTTTTAAAATAAAAAAAACATGCGATTTTTTGTGTGTTTTATAAAAATTATATGCAGCGGGATCTCTCCTCTTAAAGTTCTAAGCGGTACTTAAAAGCAATCGAGCGATTTACGATTTTATTAAGACGAAAAGATATTATCTTGTCTTTATGGGCGGAGGTAATTTGCCCACAAAATATTTAAAGCTGCTAATCCTATAGGTAATTTGCCCACAGCAAGTAAAAGGTCATCTTAATCCTGTTGGTATTTTGCCCAAATTTATTTCTAACTGAATAAATCATAATAGATATATCTTTCATTTATTATTTTTTATATATTATCGAAAAGTAAAAACACATTATTAATTAAACTTAAAATTATATTAAACACTAATTTTTATTATTATAAAAAAGTAAGTATGCATAAGTTATATTATATTTTTTATATATTTATATTTTATTTACATATTTTTCAACTGGGAGGGATAAATGTGATACAAATTTTATATACTCTAATCTGCTGATTTGCTGCAGATCAAATCGCTGTATAAATTTTTCTAAACACTGAATTTTTTGTTTTACACTTTTGTCTTTGATTTTCTTAGGTATACTTAAGCTTTGTATTGTGACATACGTGTCGATTTGAAAGTCTTTAAGCTTTTCTATAAAAATATATACAGAAGGATGTGTACAGTAGAATGAAGAATTAAACCTTGAATGAAACGACTCACAGGCATTTGTAGTTCTTGTAATTGAAGCTGTTTTTTCTGCCCATATACTTGGAGGAAATGTAGAATTTTCTTCAATATATGTTTCTAATAGGTAATCGGCATACCTATCGAGAACGGCATTTTCTGGTTTACTTGCCATTAAGTCAAACACAAAACAGTCTCCAACTTCATCGGCGTTTAAATATGTCAACCCAAATGATGTTTTAAGCCATTTTCCGGTATCACTGTTAGTTGTATATTCAGTCATTAATCCCAGAGACTGAATTTTACGATACCACGCTTGATGTAGATGAAATCGGCAGTCATTGATTACAGTATTAGGCCACATATAAATTAACGCCTTATGAATTGCTATTTCAAAATCAACGAACACTTTAGATGGATTTAAAGCAATACTGTAAGTTTCCAAAATTTTATAATGCAATAACGAAAACAAATGTTTGTATATATCGGTAGATTTGTTTGGTAATAAACAATATACCAGGGGCACATAGTGTCCATTACACAGCCCATGAATGGTAAATAATTGTAGGAAAAACTTTGTACAATACGAAAATGTTCCATCCATATACAAGACGTTCATTTTACACAAAGTACGAATATTTGTCTCACATGTAAATACAATAATATTATTTTCTCTGCTATTTATTAAAAGAAAATGTTCACCTTTACTGGTTTTAAATGTATTAGAATATAAGTCAACTGCATCATGCACTTCTTGTATATTTGTAGGTAATGGACCTGGTAGTATTTTGCGACGACTGTTGTATATAGTTTTTCTTATGTAGGACACATCAATTGTAGTTAGTGACTCTGGTAAATTAGTAGCAAGTACTTTACGGATAATTTTAGAAGGTTTTTCCGAAATATCATCAACTGCTTTTCGCTTACACGAATTAGAAATAATTTTCCTGTTTAATTTCGGTTCATTTGCTTCATGGCTATGAATTAGGTTGCCTCTGGATACTAAAAGTTCAGGACCAATTGTAAATACAGTGGCATTACAAGCATTTGTTTTTCTTTGGGAGCATCTCCAAGAAACTTCTCCACTTTTCATTTCTCTATCTTTGGCAAACGTAAAATTCTCCAAAAGGAGTACATCTTTCCCGCGTGTGCTTTTAATCAATGTAGCTGACATTATAGAAATATTTATTGTTTATTAACACTCGAATTACAATCATCAACGTATAAAAACTGACTGAAATATAAACAGTTAACACCCAAAGTAAGTACCTATTAGAATTATTAATAATCAGGTAGGTACCTATTTGTGGGCGGATGTAATTTGCGGGTTTAGGTACCTGAATGCTACTGTGGGCAAAATACCAGTAAGATTAACGCACCCCTTTACTTACACAGGTAGAAAACAGAGATTTGTGGGCAAAAAGGACCCGCCGGTCTTTATTGGTCCTACTATTTGAGGTAATAAGCAGAATATAGACGTAGAGAACATATCATTAGAAAGTCGAGCGACTCTTGATGATTCTTCTGGTTTTTTGGGTTTCTATGTAAATTATTATAAAAATAGAAAATACAACCAGATTGCAATGTTACTCTTTATAAAGAAATCGTTGTTCGTTAGAATTACTTTGTCAAATGGTATGACCAATGGATCAGCAAAAGAACTTTTTAATAATTACAAAATTCCGGCTAACGGTAAAACTCTAGAACGAAATTCAAGCCTGCTTGCCAAAACCAGCGCAGGAACACGACCGATTTATCATAAAATTTAGGCATAAGTCTGTCAATTATTCTCATTCATTTTTTTAGCTAGTAAGTAGTTATAAAATTGTAAATATATATTTATATATATATATATATATATATATATATACAGTATGGTTCAAATGAAAGGAATAAATTCATTATAATGGAAGTAGTTGGTTTTTCGAAAAAATGCTCGGACAGGTCAATTTTGTTTACTCAAAGCGCAATTTTTTAAATAAAATTCAATTTTCCCTCACTTCCCATTTTTGGGCAGTGACGTCATTGACATTTTTTTTAAATAGTAGGTAACCCTAATTTTTTTTTCTTGATTTTGTTAGATCTTGCAATTTCCTACTCGGAAACATATTTGAAATATATTACATAACAATTTTTTTTGAATAAAAGTCATTTAAAGATCAGACACATACATTTTATTTTATTTTGAGAACACAATAAATGAATAAAAGATAATTATTTGTAATTAAGTGCCTAATCTAACAAAATAATAATAATACTATTAATAATAATAATAATAATAATAATAATAAAAAAAAAGAATTTGTGAAATTGTCATTAAATTCTTTTTATTATTATTATTATTATTTTTTTAGATGAAGCACTTAATTACAAATAATCTTTTATTCATTTATTGTGTTTCAAAATAAAATAAAATTTATGTATCTGATCTTTAAATGACTTTTATTCAAAAAAAATTGTTATGTCAGATATTACAAATATTATGTTTCTGAGTAGGAAATTGCAAGATCTATCAAAATCAAGAAAAAAAAAATTGGGGTTACTATTTAAAAAAATTGTCAATAACGTCACTGCCCAAAAATGGGAAGTGGGGGAAAATTGAATTCTATTTAAAAAATTGCGCTTTAAGTAAACAAAATTGACCTGTCCGAGCATTTTTTCGAAAAACCAACTACTTCCATTATAATGAATTTATTCCTTTCATTTGAACCATACTGTATATATAAATGTAAATATTCGTTTAATTAATTACGTTTATAATGTTTACATAAACAATTATTCAGGAAATCACCTTTTCTTACTCTGAACATCTACAATGTAATAATTATATCAAGGACAAGCGAAGGAAAATTAAAAAATTAATCGACTTACCTTAAGGAAGATTAATTGTAATTTTCCGAGCTTGTCCGTAGATATAATTATTTCCCATCCCACCCTAATATCTGTCGATGCATATTTAGTTCCCAGATATAAGGTGATTTTCGTAACACACACTTCAACGGAATGATATGCAGGTATTATATACGATAGGAGCAGTGAATATAGGGCATTTTGTTTACTCTAGAAAAAATACGTGCTGATGAGTAGGTTTCAAGGAAACTACAATGTAATTATATCTACGGACAAGCTCGGAAAATTACAATTAATCTTCCTTAAGGTAAGTCGATTAATTTTTTAATTTTTCGTGAGATCGGTGTTGTGCTTTACTTTATCAACATATCGGATTAAAATGAATGTCTCAATATACAATTATTTAATTATTTAACGTAACTTTCTTGGGGATAATTTATTGAATTTTTATGGTTGCAAATGTCTGTTTAATTCGTTTATATCTACTTTTTCTTGATTATAAATTCAGTAGCGCATTATTATTTTATTTTCATATTATCATTTAATAAAATGATCGATTTTTAGTTGAGAAATATTGTACGCATGATTCTGATTTGAATGAAATTGATAGCTTACCGACTGCATTTACCAACTATACCATAATGAAGACGTGCTCGTTAAGCTTTATTGCTAATAAACTGTATATATCATTTTTTACGATTAATAATGTTACTTAATTATAATAAATAAGATATTTTACGTATAGACATAAAATTCATAAATGAAATGAGATTTTGCAATGTAGGGCATCGCAAAAAAATTATGTCTTTAGGTTCGTATAAATAGTTAGTTATATTGGTCAAGCGGAAGTATTTTATTAATTATTTTTGCCAAAAGTATGTTATAAACATAAACGATTGTTTTGATTGTTTGTAAGTTAACCTTGAACTTTTCAAATGGTTTATTGCCTTTATTTAAGAGGTCACGTCAAGCTCTAGATACTCTTCTTAACAATTCTCAGGGTGGGCTAAGAAATAGTTTTTTTAAATAGATTTTGTGAACAATAGACATGTTAAATTTTAAACTTATTTGTCTTATGAATATAGGATGACAGGACGCTGTGGAAATTAAAATATTTTGAATAACTAAACAAATGAATAGTTGACACGCATCGCATGATAATGTTTCCGTATATCTTATTTCTATTTACAATTTCGTAAGTTATTTAGATTTCGACGTAATTTCCCGATTATTTATCAATGTTGATAATACATGGTATCCCAAAAATAAATAGAATTTCAAAAAGTACTTCTTCTTATTGAACTATATATTGTACTTATTACTATATTTTTATTTATTTAAAAAAGCCAAATATAAATATTAAATATAAAATGAAATATTATAAAACTTAGACAAATATGACCCCAAGATATTTTCGTAGTTGTTCATAGTGTTCGCACTGTGTATATGTAAATGATTAAAGAAATTGGATAACCCTTGTTGAATATATAAGAGCTACTTTTTTTAAGACTATCTTAAATGAAATAACTGGAATATCTTTCATTTCATGTTTTGTGAATTAATTATTCGATCAAAAATGTACACTTGCACATTAATATTTCTCTTATGTACCTTCAATTTTAACTACGTTAAATCAAACAACGTCTTAAATGTTCGAGACGTTGGAGAACCATTATTTTTGACTCCATTAATAGAAAGTAACAAAATATATGAAGCTAGAAATGCAGCAAAAGTGGATCCGAAACTTTTTCACAATATTCAAAGTTACTCAGGTTATCTTACAGTGGATAAAAGATTTCATTCGAATTTGTTCTTCTGGTTCTTCCCAGCTCAAGAAAATTATCAACAAGCTCCTGTTCTGCTTTGGTTGCAAGGTAAAGTACTTACTAGTTAACATTTTAAATTCTATAAAATATTAAGAACATTTTTGTATCCATATATTGTAACATACTTCATATGATTCTCTCATTCTAACTTAGAATCAATAAAACAGAAATACATACCCAGCTAGCACAAAAACATCCCATCTACGTTAATAAGCTGCAATTTTAGGCTCTATAAGCTTGCATGCATGTACTTTTAATGTAACCCTAATACCCCTGCAACCGCCGAATAGCACATCTTACGGAGGTTATAAAGTGAAGTTCGGAAAACATCACACTGGCACTTTTACTGTACTTTCCCCGAAAGTTGCTCTGAAACGTTTTATAGATGTTATAATGTGAATTCATTTTACAGAATTATATGTCCACGGATGGACTTGCAAAAATATTTATTTTAAATTTTAAAGAAAGTCATTTTCATAATTTCTTTTGCTTGTTAAATAAATACGATTAACGTTGAGAACTTATGAAAAATTACTTTATGAAAAATTTAAAATACATTTTTTTACAAGTATAGTTGAGTCCAATCTTGGACACACTATATGTAAAATAGTATATTGAGGATATAGTAAAATCTGAATAAAACATAATAAAAAAATTGTATAAATTTATTATTAAAAAGCTTTTGAATTCAAGTACCAATATCACACAAGTAGAGATAGGTATTAATAATATAAGTATATTACAAGGTGACACAATTACAAATGTGTGATACCATAAGGTAGCTATAAAAACACTGAACAATTGGACAAAAGTAGGTACAAAGAGTATATAAGAAATATCTCAAAGATTCACTAGAATAGGAAACACTGAAAAATTGCACGAAAGAGTATAATAAGGTTCACTAGTAGCTAAAATGGTGAACGATTGTACAAAAGTAGTTAAAAAGTGTATTTATATGAGGTATATTTCAAAGATCACTAGATTTTTTATTAAGATGGCAGTTGTACGATACTAAAAAAAGATATTTACCTACAACTGGTACTAATCATAGTTTTAATATAAATGTGAACTTAATTATATAGTTTCTTCTGTGAAAAGTAACTTTGGAGGTAATAAATTTGTTCTGTTTAACTATTATTAAAGAAAAAATAATATGTATATATAAACTGAAAAATATGCTCCTTTAAATCGTTGCACTTGTTTTTTTGTTTTTACTTACTTTGTTATTTTAAATAAATAATGAAATTTATTTTAAATTTTACAAATTTGATGGATCTACAAGTTATACAGAGCTTTTTATAAAAAACAATGTTTTTTATCACGATATTTTGTTATGAAAGAAAAATAAATAATTTCAGATGTTATATATTCTTATTTAGCAAATTCTGTATTTACTTTAGGTTACTAGAATTATAATTCAGCACAAAGGAAACCTACAACATATTTTTAAAATGTAAACTGTAAATTAACGCATCACTTACAATTTCCGATTAATTTGGATTATTTAAGACAATATTGACGTTTATTGTAAAAAATCATAGGTGGCTCATGTCAAGTAGGTATTCTTGTCAGTTTTGAATTGTTGCGACTATACTGTATTAATTTGGCAAAGAGAAAAACAATAATTACTTCCTTTAAATCATTCTAGTTTTGTGCGTGTAATGTTTAAAGTTGCTGTTTAAGTGATTATCTTAATTTTTATCAAAAAGTTTAGTTTGATCAATATTTAATCTATTCTCTAAAAAAACATGAAACGAGCACGCCATTTAAGCAATGATGAATGTGTAACTTTGCAACTTTGTTAGAAGTGGGAAAAGTATGCGTTATGTGGGCAATTTGTTAGGTGTTCATCATTTAGAAGATTTGGGGAAACTGTTAGAAATGTCAGAATTTCTACTTTAACCGTCAGTAGAAGATTAAAAGAAGCCGGATGGGCTAGCAGAAAACCTGTCATTGCACCATTGCTCACCGTAGATCACAGATCACGTAGATTAAGGTTCGCCACCCAGCTAGCCCAAAAACATCCCATCTACGTTAATAAGCTGCAATTTTAGGCTCTATAAGCTCGCATGCAATGTACTTTTAATGTAACCCTAATATCCCTACAACCGCCGAATGTCCGCAACAGCAAGACTTTTATACCACATCTCACAATTTAAAATAAATATTTTTGCAAGTATTATTAAGTCCATCCGTGGACACACTTTGTGTAATGTAATACATCAACCGAGACGTGAAAATTTCCAATAAAACAAAATATTTATATAAATTTATTATTAAAATGTTCTTGAAATCAAGTACCAATATCACAAAAGTAGAGGTAGGTGTAGGCGTGTTCTTTTATTCAGTGCTGTATCCAGCGCTTGCAGCAAACCGCTCGTAAATTAAGCGATGGAAAGACGATTATATGTGTCAATCATACTTTTTTCCAGCGGTGAGTTCACCAATGAGCCAACGTATCCATCGGCTTTAAAATCCGATGGATATGTGATAGATGAATGGTGAGGATAGTTACATTAATCAATTTGTTTAAACGTGTGAACAAGATTATTTAGATAAAAGTTAACTACAATATAAGAGTTTAAATATGAAACGACTGCCGACGAGATAAATTACTGTTAAATTAAATTAAAACGGGTTTAATTTTTGAAGTGATGTCAAACGTCAACTTTTTCATTTGAGAAATGGCGTTCGTTCTTACTAGAGACACAGTTTATAGCTAAAGAATCAGTTTGCTCACTCTGCGTCGGCACTTTTGATCTCAATGTTCCAGTTTATACACTGCGCAACTCGGATTTGTATCCCTGGTACATACAGAATCAAATCGTAATCAATACAATATATGAGAAGCGCCTATATTCAAACAGCAGTCTTCTGCGCATCCTGAATTTGTATCCATGGAGTGGATATTATTTTGGAACATTCAACTAGTCCAAGTGAGCTAACTGATTCTTTAGCAATAAACTGTGCTAGAGAGTTGAATTGTTTCCAGTACGTTAACGTAAACGTCAATGTGAACGCAGAAAAATAATGTTTACGTTGTAGTACAAAATATGAGTTGAAGTCACATACTTTGATTACTATACGAGGCAAGAGAGAGGTCCGACACGCCCAACATAACATCCACTCCAGGGATACAAATTGAGGATACGCAGAAGACTGCTGTTTTATTGTAGGCGGTTGTCATATAGTGTATTATCCGAGTTGCGCAGTGTATAAACTGGAACATTAGGATTAAAAGTGCCGACGCAGAGTGAGCGATCTGAATCTTTAGCTATAAACTGTGGCATAGGAATCAAAATGGCCGCGCCCTATGTTGGGCGTGTCGGACCTCTCTCTTGCACCGTATAGTAATCAAAGTATGTGGTTTACGTTCATAACATCACTTCACGCAAATATCTTGCAACCGAAATCAATCACTGATGGAACATTTATTGAATAAAAGAACACATCTTATATTACAAACACAATTACACATGTGGGATAGAAGAAGCACTGAATGATTCTACAAAATTATCCCCGATCCATCAAGTGTTACAATTTACTCCTTCCGGAATCTCAAAAAAGTAGATTGGCCACTATTTCAGATAACTATCTCTGCAAATATTCCAGAGCAACGCCCGCTCAACTCCCCACCGGACACTGACACATTCGTAACCTAAACCCAAACCACCATCTCCCACGCCGTCTAAACTTCAGTTCCAATTACCTACATCAACACATCACAAAAAGCCCTCCCCCAATACATCTTAAATCTCATTTTCCAAAAACGCCAATTGTATAGACAATGTGTCCCTGTCATCAAAACTGAATGGAATCGTCTAAATGCCCTGATCAGGCTCCAAACTATCTTATACAAATAACAAAGGATCAATACCACTTCTAATTTGGATCATAGAGACACATTCCGACTTATCACTGGTCAAAAATCCAAAACACACTTCCACATCGTAATCGACGGTATAATCCAGACAACCCCCGACGAAAAACCCCTAGCCACCTTCATAACCCCCAACAACCCCCACTTTGACGACCAATTCAGACACTAAACCAAACACTTGCCGTTCCAGTCCCACCATTGGATGTCCAAAACCCCCTCACAACCCCTTTCACCCTCCAACACATCCAATATGCCTGCCAAGCAGGCAAAAACACGACCTTCGTGTGAAACCACCCTTTCTTTCCTCATCCCACTCCTAAACGCCATTTTGATTCCCAAACCAGGCAAGGACTCCAAATCCTTAGATTCATACCGTCCTATTTTGGGACTTTTGTGAAAAAAAAAATATCAATTCCAACATGGTTTCAGACCTCATCAGTCCACACAGGGCGCAATCTCATCCCTTCACACTACTGCGGTCACTGCAGTAAATTCCCAACAAATCTCATTAGCTCTTCTTTTAGATGTTCAAAAAGCCTTTGACCAAATCTGGCATGCTCGACTTGTCAAAAAGCTCATGAACATAGGTCACCCCCCAGCATCTCCAAACTCATTTACTCCTACCTCACTAACAAAACAATTACAATCAAAGTAGGCAGCTCCCTGTCAGACTCATGAAAAAATCCTCAAACTCTTCATTTTTTATCTATATTCAGCGATACTTCTTTACAACGTTGTCCGATTTCTATGATTCCTTTTTTTTTTTGTTTGAAAGGGGGTACCCTAAGGGCGGTCCCGTTTAGTCAAGATCTGACGATAGGATATAAAAGAAAATCAGTAAACTCATCTTGTGATATCTGCACGATTTTTTTTTTATTACTTTTATAACCTATAAAAAACCGACTTGAAAATCTTACAAATTGATTTTGCCGATTTTCTTATAGATGCCATCACCAGATTTTGACCAAATTTATATAGGTGACCCTTTATAATAAAAAAAGAATAATAGAAATCGGACAAAGAAGTAAAGAATTATCGCTGAACATACATAAAAAAAAATATTCCGACAAATTGATAACCTCTGTTAAAAATAAAAGCATTTTTCTCCAACCTTCAAAACATATTGACATTTTTCTACTATTTTCAGGTGCAAAAGCTAACAATTCTC